GCTGATTCATAATGATGCGGAAACTGGAGGAACCAAATTAGTATCATTTTTTTAAATGCCTTCAAACATGACCTTCCCAAACACAATTCCCCATGACATAATTCCAGATTTGTTTAAGTTCAAATATACACGCTCCAAAATGTATAAGTAATTCGAGAGTTAAACCTCTGTTTACTTTTAAAACAAAAACAACGCGAGGCTGAGTGCCAATTCTCCAAGACCGGCTGCGAGCATAGTCCCGTAACTTGGCAACCGGCGCGGCGCTCCGCCAGTCTTGGTCATTCATTGTCTGTGTTGCGTCAGAAATTTTGTTAGTCACTCCAGTGATTTGTACTTCATAATATACTGTTTTTTTAACTGATTTCTACATACGAAAAATATCGTAACTACTAAAATAGATCTTAAGAAACGAAAAAAATAAATTTATAACGCAGTAATCAGATTTTTTCTCTTTATTATACAAAAAATAAGATCGAGCCTGTCTGGACACATAAATAAATTAAGCACATCCTCAACAAACCAATTAAATAACCTCTGTTTTCGCTATGTCACACGAACATTTACAATCCCGCGTCTCTACAGCATGAGAAACGGCCATCCCAGTGCCTGGACGGACATCCATGCCACCTAAGTAACCGTTACTGACCTCAAGTCGCCTGACCGACCTTTGGCGGTGGAATTGGGAATCTTGGTAACTTCCTGCGGTTACCAGACGAACCCCTGTCGATGCTGCGATTTTTTTTTCTGTGCAATTCATTACGAGTAATCTTTGTCAAGAGGAAATGACCCATCGCTGAGAAAGAAACCAGACGGTGAGCAAAAAAAGAAAACACGCACATCATGTGAAATTCAACATTCAGCTGCAAGTGATTGATCTTGGAAATGCAGTCTAGTAATAGGTTTTGGCACGACGCCAGCCGGGCTTCTCGAAGCCACCGACCGCCGCCTACCCCGCCCACAATAAAACTTCACCCTCCCCCCCCCCCCCCTCCACACCCGCGCCTGCCCTCTGCCCATCATCATCCGCGTTCCCGGGTGCTAGTCCAAATCGCACGTCCAGGGAAATGTTCGTATTTTCCTTCTTCTAATGCCGCTTCCTCTCTCTCTCCTCCTCTCTCTCTCTTCTCTCTCTCTCTCTCTCTCTCTCTCTCTCTCTCTCTCTCTCTCTCTCTCTCTCTCTCTCTCTCTCTCTCTCTCTCTCTCCTCTCTCTCTCCCTCCCTCTTCTCTCTCCCTCTCTCTCAATCTTTTCTTCCCCCCACCTCTCATCCCCCTCTCTCTCAATCTCTTTTCTTCCCCTCCTCTTTTCCTTCACCCCCTTCCATCCGCACTATGAGGAACGGAATCTAAAGCACTTTCAGGGACAAAACTTATCTCGTATATCTCTAAAAAACTATCATTTTCGGATCAGTATGTCTCATTGGTCACGTGAATCAAGCGCATATCATTATATATACATGCATAACCATATGTACATAGGTAATTGTGTGTGTGTGTGTGTGTGTGTGTGTGTGTGTGTGTTGTGTGTGTGTGTGTGTGTGTGTGTGTGTGTGTGTGTGTGTGTGTGTGTGTGTGTTGTTAGTGTGGATGCAAGTTTGTATCTCTGTCTCTATGTTTCTCTCTCTCTGTCTGTCTGTCTGCCTGTCTCTCTGTCTCTCTCTCTCTCTCTCTCTCTCTCTCTCTCTCTCTCTCTCTCTCTCTCTCTCTCTCTCTCTCTCTCTCTCTCTCTCTCTCTCTCTCTCTCTCTCTCTTATACATATATGTATTCAGATGCAGGATATAGCAAAAATAAGAAAACCTCGAAGGAACTGGAGAGACTTTTGTAAACAAATCAAGAGATGATATTTACCGAAATATATTTACGATAAAGTTAACTATATGTTTACCTGTTCACTAAAATCTAGCGAACAGAATTAAGATGACGTAAGATCTTGTGCAGGTGTTTCGCAAGCGGCCCAGCGAGTGACACGTGCGATTTTCTTTTATCTTATAAAATCAGGATATATTTTAGCCACGTAAGTATTTGTGTGTGTGTGGGGGGGGTGCGTGCGTGCGTGCGTGCGTGTGTGTGTGTGTGTGTGTGTGTGTGTGTGTGTGTGTGTGTGTGTGTTGTGTGTGTGTGTGTGTGTGTGTGTGTGTGCGTGCGTGCGTGTGCGTGTGCGTTGCGCGTGCGTGTGCGTGCGCAAACGAGCATGTTTATACCTGTAAGTACATTGATCGATTCAAAGAGGTAATCGACAATATTAACTGAGACACGATATACTATCAAAGATAAGATAAGTTCAAGACGAGCGAAGGATAGATTCCTCAACTGTTCTTGCAAGTGAAAGTTTCGTGTGACTGCATGTTGCACAGGTTATGACGGGATGTCCATTCTATGCGACAGCCAGTGCTACTGAACTCTGGGTTACGACCAAATTGAGATGCTGTGTATCCATTTTCACATTTTATTATCAATTTATTTCCCATCTGTTCTCAAATTCTAATCATTCAACCAAAATAAACACAAGACGAATTCAAAAACTACTATTTTCAGGACGACAATGATCAAAATGTGAACGTGAAAATATACGAAGAATTTCCTCTCGCCACAACAAATCGTATATGAAATTACCCGATCCTCATCCTTACTTTTTCTTCCTTATTTTTCTTACTTACTCTTCTTTATTCTTTGCTATCTAGTCAAAGAACCCCGCGAGCCACTGTACAGCAATGCGGATGGGCGGCCTTGCACTGAAATCCTCGCTATCCGAATGCCATAAAAGAATCAGCACCTTGCGCATGCCTCCCCCATCCAGTAACAGAAAAGGTCCTGGGTTGATGTGTCACGTGACGTATGGGGATGCTCTGAGCCCTAATGCCAGGAGGGAAACCCGATCTATGCTGCTTGGTGGGCGTCAATTAGTTAATCGCACGTCCTTCTTCATTCCGAATCAACAAATCTCCGTTGAACAGGCCTGGCGTGTCTCTGCGACGTCAATAGCACGCATAGCCTTTTCAACGATGCACGACCTACGAGGCGCTTGTCTACCTCCTTGGCTTGTCATGTGTAGTCTCTCTCGCCATGACCTGAAATCCTTCCATATTTTTTTTTCTGTCCTGATAAATGTAAAACAGGTTCAGTCGACTTAATATTCAACTCCGAATTTCATGCCCGAAACCGTATATAAAGGGAAACTCCAATCCATCCATCAACTAGTGTCGTCCGGTCGTCAATTGCGAGTTGCAGACGCTACAATATTCGTGGTGTTAGACTCAACAGAGCTGAG